CACTGTCTAGCATAAAGTGTGAGAAGCACAAAGTAGGATTTTGATTAAGACATGAAAAAAAGCAGGAGAAAAGGCACTGAGTTTCAATCTAACACAGGATAGAAAGAGGCTGTAACTCATCTACCAAAGGGTAATCAGTTGTAGTAGCTTCTCTCTAAATGTAAAAAAAAAAGATTCCTTACTAGTTGTGCTGTGTTGAATGACAGAGACATTTTCAGCCAAGGTTGGGTCAGGCTAAAGGAGGGAACCTTACAGAGGGCAGTAGAGAACTTATTAAACACTTTACTGGGGCAAAAATATATTTCCTTTGGTTTACTAAGCTATTACTAAACTACTTTTACTCTATCATAAAAAAGATAATAATCTGACCTGACTTGCTTTTGATAAACCCATGTTGTCTCCTAGTACTGATAGAATTCTTTTCTATCAATTCTAGAGACAATTCACACCATGTTCCAAAATCGTGCCCAGTACAGGCATTAAACTAACTGGTTTGTAGTTTTGCAGGTTTTATTTCTTTATTGTTTTGAATACAGGGACTACATTTCCTTTTGTCCTTCAGCCCCTCACCAGATCTCCAGGAATTTTTAAAAATTACAGCTTGTTTTTTAAGATCCCCATCACTCTAGAGCTTGTTTAGCCTTTAAGATATTAAGGTGCCATCCATCTTTAAGCTGATTAAAATCTGTTTTTCTTAAGTATACAATCGATTTTTTCTAGCTTTTCCATCTCTAGTTATCTTGAATTCCAACATGATGTAGTCACTTTCCCCCAAGATACCTGATTCCAATTCCCCTCTGTTAAATAGAATAGAGCTGATAACCAAACCCTTATTTCATCTTCTACCTTCTGAAAAATGAAATTTTCAGCAAGAGAGTCAGAAATCTGTCAGACCTTCTACTCCTAGCTGAGCTAGCTTTCCAACAAATATCACAAGATCAAAGTCTCCCATTACCACTATAATCTGTTCATTTGAGAACTTGGTGAATTGTTTTAAAAAGGCATCGTCACATTTTCTGCCTATAGGTAAGCTACAGTAAACGCTCACAGTGATACCACTTTCATTTCTTACTTTGTAATTCATCTAGCAAAACTCTCCTGCTGTTTGCTTTCCTGGTTGTGACAACCCAGCTCCATGTCTGTTTAAAAGATTTACTAAATTAGCCAACTTTTAGAAACACACATACATGTCAAAGACTAAATAAAAAAAAGTACAAAATGTCTTCATACAACTGATTTTGGTTTGGAGAGGAAATCCATGACCGCCACAAAGAGAAAACTAAGCAAATGTCCTGTAGAAAACTTTAGCAAGTCTCTCTATATTTTTATGTGCTGTGAATTTCCTTTTTATGTGCTGTGAATTTCTCTCAGTTAGGAATCTAAGATGTTGGCCATACAGTGATTTTTTAATTGGCCTTTTTTGGGTAAGAGAATGTATTCATATGGAGATGGTAGTGATGACAAGAATGGTGGTGGTTTGGAACTATTCATGTTGCCATGAGTTTCTGTGATAAAGGTTGGGATATAAATGTAATTTAAAAACAAAGAATATGGAAACAGATAAATAACCCTAAGGAAAGGATTAATTACCCTCTAACACTAGGATTATAGTAAGCTTTACACCATCCTGCATTGTATTTTCTTAAAAAGAAAGTAATCCTGCTGGAGGGTTGGACAAGTTTGCAGAGTTCTCATACATTCAGCTTCTCTTCCCACTTTGGAGATATGTGTAAAATGTGTGTTTTATGAGTATAAGTTTATAAATTCATTGAACAGAATATGCTTTTCTAACAGTGCTTCTGAAAGGCTCAATAAATCCCAGAATATTAAAAAAAATTAAAAATCTGGACATCCCATATATAAATAAGAGAGATGGGAAAATTAGATTGCATAGACATGCTCAAGGATTATTTACAGTTGGGCCCCCATTTTTCTCACAGTTATAAGCAATTCTTGACACTAATTCTTGACACTAATAATTTTAGTTCCAGTTCCCTTTTTCCCTCCCCACAGTACTTGGGCTATGAGTACAGTGACCATACATCCTTTATTATCAAGGGCCGTGCTTTACTTCAGAAAGCTGTCCTTTAGGTTTATTTTTCAAAAATACATTTTTGTCCTTTATTTTGGTCATTTAACTTTTACTGTACAAATGAACCACTTAATGCAGTCTTTTACATTCATGTGAAAAATATGGAAATTGAATTGTCTTTTTAAAATTTACATATACTGTTTGATTTTAGATATTTTTATTAGAGTATGTAAAGTTTTCTTGGTTTTGCTCTTGAATTTTCCTTTGTAAAGCAAAGTTATAAACATAAACAATTACTTTTTTTTTTACCCTTATGAACCTCTTTCAGATTTGCCTCTTGTTCAGGTTTGTCCTTTATTTTTTCCAAGAAAATATGATCACTGTAGCTATGAGTTGATATGCAAGTATGAAATCAGGCATCTAATGCTTTAGCTGGAATATAATGAATGACATGGCAAAAATCTGGAGTAAAACAGTTTTGAAGTATTTTGATTTTTCTAAATTTTCCTAATTTCTGCAACACAGAATGCCAACAAACTTGTTTCATACTCAGAAGAGGGCCAAACAACTCTTCCTTCTCCTCCTTATTTATAAAATGTATATGCCATCACTACCTGAATCTCTAAGCCTTATCAAAACAACCATACAGACATAATAAAAAATGAGAAGTATAAAATATGGGGGTGGAGCTAAGATGGGAATGGAGCAGCAGCTTCCTTGCTGAGCTCCTTATGATATTTTATTTGTTTTATCCATTTTTATAAGTAGCCTAGCTACACATCTTAGTTTTTATATAGTTTTATTTAATAAACACATTTTCTGCAAGAGATATTTTAAATCTGAATGCCAAGTCCCTAAAATATCAGAAAACTCTCGCATCTGTTGAACTAGATTCAATTCCAGTGGTAATTTGTTCCATAATATGCGCCCTGCAGTGGACAAAGCAAAATAGTCACTGATGTCAAATACGTGGCTGTACTTGCAACAAGTACTCCACTGATGAGCTAAAAGTGTAAGGTCTGTGTATTAGGAAGTAGGCTCAGGCCTAAACTGTATATGGCTGAATATACCATTATAACCATCTTGAATGGGGTTCAGATCATGGTTGGCAAGCAGTGTATTTAATGGTGGTAGCATCCAAGAAAATGAAATTATAAATATGATCATCAATAAGCACAGCACCCCATTACAATGCTAAATTATAATGGTTTAGCATTATGCTGCCTAACCATAAGGCAGGAACAAATGATTGTAGAGAGGGTTAAAGTTTTCCACCTGCCTGCTGTCTTTCTGTTGAAATTTTCTATCCCCACGCCATCCATGCCTGCTTTTATTTATAACAAATCCCTGAACCATTTCCAAAGTTCAGCATCACATCTTGCTTGGTTGTGAGTTTTGAATTTTTTGAGATGAAAAAAGGAAGCCAATTCAGATTCAACAACAGTTAACATTGTGGTGGGCCAAATTTGTCTCTTACCATTTTCCTTATATATTTACACTAGTTGTGACACATAGAGAAAACAACAGTTGGAATTTATGAGCAAGGTTTCATTTTAAAATGGGATTTTGTAACAATATTTTGGAGACCAAAATTGTAACTCTTCCGTAGCAAAGAGGGTAAATACAAAGTTTTCCCTGTTGTTTCTATGTTTTTATCTCATACATACCAAATACAGATGAAATGTTCTTGTTTTCCTTTAACTAGAGTCAAATATAATGGTTTTTTAATGTTTCCTTAATATAGTGATGTGCCCCTGGGATTCAATAGCCCTCCTAGTTTCTGAACATGAATTTTTATACATCTGCCACGTAAATTTATATAAGCATAAACAATTTAACAGAATGGTGCTCCTTAATTGACAGAAGCCAACAGCACTGCAAAAGGGCTGTAATGTAAAATGTAAATGTAAGGTAAAAAACAAAAACAAAATCAGGAACAATTGTAGTGCTAAGCCAGACTTATGCAATTGTTTACACATGAATGACAAGAGAGTGACTGGTGAGCATTTTATCTTAGGGGGTTTTCAAATTCAACAGCTGCCTAATAACATTATCAAAATTAATTAAGTTTTTATATTCACAAGTGGTTTTCATCAAACAAATAATACTCTTTGTTGTAAGACAGGAGTAGGTAGCCACAGCCAACAGCCAGCCTATTGTTGTGCTTTCTAGAGGTTTCCCAAGAGACTTGGCTGAGATCTAGCTGAGGAATGCGCTGATCTCTTGCTTCTTTTAGCCCCCTTCAGTTAAGGTTTTCATGTTTTTGGCTCAATTACATAAATTTCCTTTGGCTTGTTTCAGTCATAACTGAACACTACCTAATTTAGTGTTATTCAGTATTGACACTAACTATAGGTAAGATGAACCAGGATTGCGCAGGCCAAGATGTGCAAATCTACTTTTCAAATACTGATTTTAAATTACAGGTAGTCCTCAGCTTATGACCACAATAGGGACTGGAAAATTTGTTGTTAAGTGGTCCGGTTGTTAAGTGAGGCATCATGTGACTGCACCTGATTTTACAACCTTTTTTGTCACGGTTAAGTGAATCATGCGGTTCCCTATTGACTTTGCTCGAAAGCCATCTGGGAAGGTTGCAAATGGCAGTCATGTGACCCCGGGATACTGCAACTGTCATAAATACATGCCAGTTGCCGAGCACCTGAATTTTGATCACATGACCTTGGGGATGCTGTGATGGTCATAAGCGTGAGGACAAGTCATAAATCAATTTTTTCAGCGCTGTTGTAACTTCTAATGGTTGCTAAACAAATGAGCGTAAGTTGAGAATTAGTGGTACAGTTTTCAGATAATTGAAGTTTGATTTAGCCATGGGTCATGCAATAGAGACCTCATATGAAATTATGTTTTAAATGAACCCTAAAGCCAAGTCTCAAATATTTCCACACAACAGACCAGTATGTTACTGCATTTCTGAACATCATGCTATTAAATGCATTTGTATTACCAGTTCCTTCTTCTTCATGCATTCCATAAGAATTATGAAGAGATGCTGAGCCTGTGTCCGAGTGTAGGTGAAGGTTTTCTGGATAGTAACAAGCAATTGGTCTCTCAGAGATTCATTGATAAGTCTGAAATTTAAAAAGGCAAATAAGGTTTTAAAAGGTCAGCATCTAAACATTCACCAATAAGAACTCTGTGTTTAAAATTCTGAATTAATGAAATCCAAGTATAATACCAAAATATAGAGAGCACTGAGTTTACTTCTCTTGTCCAACAACATTTATTCTGCAGTGGTTGTTTCTTTGCATGATTTGCTTTGCTTCCACTAATGATTGGTGGTGGTGGTGGGGGGATGGGACATGAAGAGCTAAGCACTGGAAATCTGTTTGCTGACCTCTGAGATTTCATCAAAATGTTGCCTGCATGGTTTCATAAGCGTAAAGGCTAAACATGCACTTTCTGTTTCTTGTTTTAAAATGAAAAATAAATTGTATATTTAGATTCATTCTGACTTTTCCCCCATTTCACACTTGAAGAATGGCATGTATGCAGTTCTGCCTGGGAGGTAAGATTGTGTTTTATTTTTTATATGATTACAGTCATTCTGGAAAACAAAAGGCAGGAAAAAGGGCAGATAAAAATGTTGTGCTTGAAAAATGAACTGTTGCTTTAGAGACAATTTCAATTTCTAGATCATGAGATGAAACAAAACAAAACAAAACAAAACCTGGAATTAACTGCAGTACAATTGGGTCTGGCAGGCTATCTCAAAAGCAAAAGGATTTTTCAGATATTCTTCTCTTGGGTCCGAAAGAGAGCTCTGTCCTTGGAAGTGGGTATCTTATATCAGAACCACCACTAGGCCCAGTTGAAACTTCCAGTACTACTCTGACTTTGGAGCTCTGACAATCAGGGATGAAGAAAAAGGGGCAGATAATTTGCTTAATAGATGTATATAGAGCTTTATATATCAGAAGCATCTTGGGGCAGGTAACTGAATTAAAGGTAACTGAATGCACAATAAAACAGTATTTAAAACAGTATAAACACAGTAATCAGTAAATTCAGGGACCCCTTTCTCTCACATGGTTATGCCCATCTAGAGAGTCTGCTGAACATTTTACTTTGAGAAGAGGAATGTGGTCTACATGGGAAGCCTTCTCCATGGCTGACCCCATTCTGAGGAATAAGTTGTTCCCTGAGATGTGTTTGGCCCTTATGTTTCTGGAATCTATGAAGATACTTAAAATCATACTTTCTTTATGGGAGTTTGACATCTAGCTATAAATAATGGGTGACTTTCTGTTTTTAAATTAATGTTATGCTGATTTTAGTGAAATTAATGGGTTTTGATTGTTTTTATTCAAATATCCTTTTGTACACTATCTTGAATCTTCAAGTGTTAAATAAAACATAACTTTTTCATGAGATGGGCAGCCATATAAATTTGACAAATAAATAAAACTACCCAAAAGGTGAGGGAAAAAAGACAGGGAAAATCCCCCCCCCCCCAATAATTTATCTTGGGAAGCTCTGGTAAAGTTTAAACAAATGCATGAAAGATAGAATAGAGCCATAGTAATCTGGAAAGGAAAGGGAATATTGTATAGGTATGTGAAAAATCATATTCTGGAGTTATATAGTGCTTTTAAATCTGCTAAACTGGTACTTGTCCAGATGAGTGATTGTAATATAGAATATTCACTACATGATGTAAACAGATTAGGAACAGGAAGGAAAAAACAGGGAAACCATTGGCCTTTCTACTGAAGCAATTAAAACAGTACCTTTCAAGCACCTTGCTTAAAAATGGGTGGTAGCTGACAAAGTTTTCTGGATCCAGAGGGATTCAACATGAGTAAGTGATCCACTGCCTCTCTGAGACTGGCAGCACAAATCTCTCAGGCATAAGACATACACCATACCCAGGACCCATTAGATCATCCCCTTCAGTTAGCTCAAAAGAGCAAAGATGGACAGGGATCAGAAAACATGCTGTAAACTGAACAGTTGTAGACAGGAGGGTTGTCTTGTCATGTCCTCAAGCCTCAGAAACTGAAACAAGCCCATACAACTGAATTAAAAAGTATATTATACACCTCAGTTTATAGTGTATCAAAAGCAATATTCAAATCCAAGCAATTTTATTCTCTAAATGCCTCACAGCTCCAACACTGGATTTTATGTCTACCTGTCTGTGGAAGGACAGACTGCCTGAGCAGATTAAAAGCACCTGGGCTCCTTCCTGCCCCTCCCTTCTTGGCCCTCCCCCATTGTCAGGATGACCCAGCTGCCTGTCAAACAACAGCTGCCAATCAAGCAGCAGTGTTGGGGAGGAGGAGGAGGATGGAAGAGAAAATGCTACTGGGAACTCTGCAGCCACTGGCCTGATGAAGAAGAGGCTGAACAAGCAGAGCCAAACCCAGGAGTCAAAGTAAAGAGGCAAACTAAAAGATAGACAGCCCTAATGAGAAGAAGCAACATGAAAGGAAGCAGTGACTGAGAAAACTGGAGAGAGAGAGAGAGAGAATGGTGTTTATTTCTTTCCCTCCAACTGGTGTGAGGTAAACCTTTGAGCTGTTGCCCTCAAAGATTCAGAAGAGAAGGATCAAGAAGCCCAGCCAGGAACAAACAAGCAAAGAAGATGAAAAAGTAAAGACTTTAACAGAACAGAAATAGAAAATGGAAACTAAAACAGAGCTTATAGAAAATGGTTAAAATAAAAGATAGTTTTATTACTAAGATTAATTTACAATAGTTGTAGGCATTTATCATTTACAATTCCTTTTTCATTTATCTGTAAGCTTTTCTTTTTTCAGATAAAAGGGTCTCCCCCATTCCCCAGCCATTGAAGGGAGATACAAACCCCCAATAAAATTGTCCAAATTTCCAGTGCTTTGTGTCTATTGAGTCTGGGTCAATCTGGTTATTGATGGTTCAAACAAAAAGAACCCGCAACACTGTCCCATTAGGTCAAGCACGAATGGCATGCTCCAGGTCCTGTCTATTAGGGATTGCCACCTGGTGGGGCCAGGGAAGAGAGGCTTTTTTGTCATGGCGCCCACCCTTTGGAATATCATCCCGCGGAGATTTGATTGGCCCCGATCCTGCTCCCTTGCCCTTCAGTGGGGATGCTGCTATGAGACCATGACAAAACGGTTAGCACTGAGGCAAAAATTAAGTTGAGGGTGGGCATTAAATTTGAGGCAGAGCTATGGCTGTCAAGGAGGCCATGAAATCCTGGGCTGACTGTGCCCTTTGGAATAGCATTCCCAAGCATCTTATGGTTCTGACTCTGCTAATCTTTAGGAAGGCCTTAAAAGTGGCACTTCTAGCGGGCACTGACCCAAGGTGATTGGTGAACCCACTTGAGTAATATCTGATTTAAACCTTTGTCTTTCCCTGGTACTTTGTTTTATTATTTTGATTCTTTTGTTTATAACTGTATGTTTTTAACCCTCTTTGTATGCTGTCTTGAGTTACTTGACAATTGTCATGCAAACAGCCTGGGAAAAAGAAATGCAAACATTTCAAAGAGGCCCCTTAAAGAGTTCACTAATAAAGGATTGCTGGAGAATTCTTATTTCAGTTGCAGATATTAGTTATTCATATATTGGCTCAGTTTTTCAATTTCAAAGATTTCCTAATTACATTAACTAAATGCAGTCACTTTCTTATTCAAAATTACCCCCAGTATTTTTCAAAATGAGAAGCATTGTATTTTTCAGGGGTTATAAAATTAGATGATGTTAAGCTGTTTCACAATATATGTTTGTTATATTTAAAACTGTAGTGAGCATATTTAACAAGGCTATGAGGAAATATCCATAAAAGTTAATCCAGTCTTATTTCTACTTGATTAAATCTAGCTGAGAAACTCGGAATTTGAAACATTTATCTCCCTTTTTGAAAAGTACATTGTGTAACAGAAACCCCTCCATTTATGTTTCCCAGCAAAAAACACAGAAAGAAAAAGTATAACTGAAATTCTGAATTGCTGTACCAGTGAGACAAAACTGCTCCTTATCTACACACTAATTATACTTCCTTAAATCACCTTTTGCATAAGTTAGAACATGACTAACGTTGTGTTTTACAATCTTGATTACCTATTTTACGACTTTTCTAGCCCTACAATATTCTCTTTGAAATGTAACGACAAAAATTATGTAAAACAATATAGAATTTTCTATGTGTGATCATATGACATAGTTCTATAACAGAATATGATAATAGGAGTTTCAGGTTTTTTCCCCCTAATTATCTCTAAAGTAGAATTTGTTGATTTCTTAGAGATTGGACAATAGGTTAAATTTTTCCACCAAAACTCACTTATCCTTTTTTGCTTTGTCACTGTAATGTAGACCCTCCTAGCTTATATATGAAATTAGATTTTTGTTGCCCCAATGTGTCAATTCCGAACCAAATTTACCATTTTAATGTGTCAGTTCTACAGGTTGAGGTAAATCTTTTTGGAATTCTATGCCATTGCTCTTTCTTTTAAATGCCCTAAATAATTTGGTGTTATTTGCAGACTTGGCTATTTTACTGCCAGCTTATTTATGAACAAGTTAAAAAGCCCTAATTCCAATACAGATCCTTGTGGTCCTGCATTGTCTACATCCCTCCACTATGTGAAACATTCCTTTATCACTTCTGTTTTTTGTTCTTGGATTGCTTAACAAACCATCAATGAATCTCTTTTACCTTTGGATAGTCAAGTTTGTTCAGCAGTATTTGAAGTTGGTCTTTGTGAAATGGTTTTTGAAAGTTCAAGTTATTAAAGTATATCTGCAGGACCACTCTAATCCACATACTTAGATACTCTCGAAGTTTAGTTAGATGAGATTCACATTTGTAAAAGCCATAGTGCTTTTTCTTTATCAATAGTTATTTTTCTAAATATTTAATTCTTTTTTATCTTTGATAATACAGATCCTTGTGGTCCTGCATAAATTACTTGGGAATGGTTCCTTTTTTTAAAAAAAAATGTGCTGGGCATTTATTAATCCACTTGCATAATGCCAAATTAGGGACCTCTTTCATATTTTCCAAGTCTACCAGCAATTGCACATTTGAATTTTTAAACATCTTAGATCATTATTCTTTGAACCTGTTGATTTTCAAT